GGGGGGGGGGAGGGGGGAAAGAAAAGAGAATATTGATAATCTTATTCTAAAACAAATTTCCCTAAAATCTGTTGTGAGTTACAAATTTCCTTCCTCCGGGGCTCTCCTTACCCGGAATGGGGTGTTGATTCGGCTTGTGAGAGTATCTAGGATGTGGACATTCTCGTGCTGGTGCAACAGGATAAAACGGAGGAAGATTTCAAGTAGTGCTGGCTCGGAGATGCTACGCAGAAAAAGGTCCAAATATGCAGTTGTGGTCATGACCTCCTCCACAGTCACCTGGGACCAACGACAGAGTGAGCACAGGTGAGCATCCTCTCGATGCTGTGATACTTGCCTCCCAAATGGCCCCTGGCCTCATCACAGTGACCCCATCAAGGCAAGAACACGCCTGCCATAAGAACACACTTCAGAGCTTCATCTGAAGCCTACAACCTATTCACATTCCACAATACCTCATGCTGCTTCCGCCCTTTAATTCAGTAAGGGAAAAGCAAAGGCATAAAGAAGCAATTCAAGTGTTCAGACAACTCTAATCATCAAATGCAGTTCATATATACCATGAAGATTTTAGTATGTAATCCCAAAGGGGGAAAAAAGGTAATGCAAAGTATTCACGTGGTCAGTAAAGGCTTAATTAGCTCAGTATAACTTGTTTCATTTAGTCATTCGATAAATATTTATTGAGACCTGCTATGTACAAGGAGCTAGAAACATAAGAACATATTTCCTGCCCAGGAAGACTGGTTATAAATATGATTTAGCAAACAAAATAGTAATATAATAAATGGCAAATGAGAGGCAAAGACACAAAGTGCTGTCGATGTGCAGATACGCTTCTGGAAAGTTGCAAGTTAAATTTTTACATAAAGACATTTATATAAAATGCCATAAGAGTTTACTGCTTACAAAGTAACTGTTACTTTTTCATAATACAGATTAATATTTTCTAGGTGGTATGATTTTCTCATGCAGTAAAATGTCAACCTTTCAGGAAATAAAACACTCTGAAGAGTCAAGTTTTCCAGAGCTGAGGATTTGATGCTTAAATCATCAAAATTTTAATCTTAACATTGTGATTGGAAATATTTTAAAAGCTAGTATTCATTTCTGTCTTCCTAAAAGCAGAATATAACATTTCTCGATCAATAGGGGTCTTCAATTGCCTTACTGTTTGTCTTATAGAAATACTCAAACAAGACTATTTGAAAAGTACCAGAGAAACAGTACAAAATTTCAGATTCCAACCCTATGCCCTGGAAATCTTAGAACTCTCCCCTGCCGTGAGTCTAATGTGCTTAATGACAAATGAGATGGGCGGCGATACTGTTTGAGAGATTGCATCTTCTCTTTTTCAGCTTTCCATCTTCTTTATTCCTCCCTTTAAAAGTGTTAACTGTCACTTTATCATACTGTTCCTGGGCCATAGCTTTTATATACCTCTTCCTCTTGTAATTTTCTACTTTCAAAAGCCACAAATCAGTTTAGAAACTAGGTCTCTGAACTTGCTTACATAAGTGTAGACAGGCCTTGTGTAGACGTATCTGTGCATAAAGGCTTCAGTTACGTCTCCACATTTCTTGGTTCTTAGGTATGTTCTGGATAAGTGAGCCCAGGTGGGTAGGATATTACCAAGTTGGTGTTGTCTGTTTTCTTTATGCTAAGCAAGGCCTGGTTACATACTACATTTCAATCCACTCTCAGGGGCTCTTGACGACTCATCCCATAGTACCCTGCACGGCCTGAGCTATGCATCGGTGCACAGACACCCTTTCCCCACCAGCTCAGCGCCAGGGCTGTGTGCCCTCAAACACCGAGGCGCCACTGTGTCATCTGACCAACTTCGAAGGGCTCTCTGTGGCCCAAACATAGCAAAGGAAACAGGTAAGGGTCAACCACTTGGCAAAGAAATGACCTTGAGATGAGTGCCTCTCACGGACTGCCCCAGCATCTGAAACAAACTGCTTCTACCCTTGTGGTCTGCGGTGTCTCCGGTCCCAAACTCATGGCACTTAGTCCTGTCCTAGGACATGCTCAGTGTCTTTTTCTTTATTACTGCGGTGCAATGTGCCAGCCTAGCACAAGGGCAGCACTTAATAAACATTTCCTGAATAAATGACATCCCCCAAGGACCCAGGGATTTACATTTGCCCGAGTTGAGCTTTATTTTTAATTCCTCTGAAAGCCCCAGAGAGTGGAGACATTTTTAGTAAAGACCTATAAAATAACTGATGTCACCAAACTAAAGGGGAAATGACTCACAACACCAAACTGGAGGTTCCATTGGCTCACGCCCATTCCACTACTGTAGTCACAGGGTCCTTCAGCAGGGTCCTCCAAAATCATTTAGGCAAAAGTCTAAATCCTTTTGGTCAGTAGGAAAAAGCAGCATTAATCATTCCAAATGGGCCACACGTGTAGTTTCTGCAAGACTGTATTTTCATCTTACCAACTGAGTACCGCTGAGCTGATGTGTCATGCAGAACTCCAGGAGCTGCCTTTGCACCAATAATGCAGCATCAGCTTGCCCCTACCCCTTAAGTTACACATGACCTTAATAAGCTCAAAAGTATAGCAATAAACTCTTTAGAATGTAAGTCTCAGTCTTTGGGGGCTGACATGAAAGGAAAGCATGAAGCATCTATTGTTTACTACTCTTAGGTTGGATAAATGAAAGATTTTTTTTTAAGAAATCAAAGCTGTCACTTATAAGCTAAGAGGATTTAAGAAAGCACTTTGAGGGGCAGCATTTACATAACGTGGTATAAATATTAAAAACTCAATTCTATTAAGCATCAAGTCGTACACTCTTTATAAATCGAGGTCACATTCTCCTTAAACTAATACCCAAATCAGTTAAATCTGGTTCCCTTCTCTTCCTATCTCTTCCTTCCTCCATATTGTCAGAGCCCTTAGAAGCCTTTTATCCCAGAAAATCTTCCCCTGACCCATTATCTTTCTTTTCAGAATCTTCCTCTAATCCCCCAAACAGGCAGCCTCCTTAACAAGGATGAGACCACGGCCTAAGCACAATCACTTGAAAACTAATGAGAAACCACCAGGGGAAAGCAGCTCTGCTGTACAGAAAGTAAAGCTGAAGCTTCCACTAACGCCCCAAAGAGGAAGCATTAGCTGAAGAGGAAAGCAGCCTCCTCGCCACAGTCCAATTACAAATGACAATCGGTTATTGATATAGGTTAAGACCTTTGCCTTATAATGACTGTCAATATTCATTTACTTTGTTCTATGAAAAATTGCAGGTAGCTACAAATTTACATAGAGATTCTAGTAAAATAGTAAATGAGGTTCTACCTTACTACCATATAATACACAATAATAAAGTGTAAGAATATTAAAGCTCGGGAACGTCATTTCAGACTTTTGTAGGAAAACTCGTTCCTACAAAAGAATAATTATTCTTGACAAGGTAAGTACAACTGTGAACCTAAAAAAATGTATCTGCTTAAGCACTTTTTTTGCTAGTTGAGGTAAAATTGGTGTATAATATTGTATTGATATATAACATTGGTATGTAACATCCTTGTATACAGCATAATTCAATCTTGGCATACGCTACAAAGTGATAACCACAAGTGCAGTTACCATCCATCACCATGCATTTGACCTGCTTCACCCATTTCACCCACCAAGCTGTTCTCTGTATCTATGAGTTTTGTTGTTTGCTTTGTTTGTTTGGTTTTTTAGATTCCACATACAAGTGAAATCATACAGTATTTATTTGTCTGTCTCTAACTTATTTCACTTAACATAATACCCTCCAGGTTCATCCATGTTGTTGCAAATGGCAAGATTTCCTTCTTTTATATGTCCGAGTAGGATTCCATTGTATACATATACGTCTTCTTTATCTATTCACCTATCAATAGACACTTAGGTAGTTCCCATATTTTGGTTATTGTGAAAATGTCTATAATACCCAAAGCAATCCACAGATTGAATGCGAATCCCATCAAAATCCTAATGGCATTCTTCACAAAACTAGTATAATTCTAAAATTTGCATGGAACCACAAAAGACCCTGAATAGCTAAAAGCAAAGTTGAAGGTATCATATTCCATGATTTCAAACTATACTACCAATCTATAGTCATAAAGCAGTATGGTATTATCATAAAAACAGACACGTAGATCAATGAGTCAAAACAAAGAGCCCAACAATAAACTCACACATCTACGGTCAATTAAATTGTGACAAAGGAATCAAGAATATACAATGCAGAAAGGACAGTCTCTTCAATTAATAGTGTTGGGAAGACTGAACAGCCACATGTAAAAGAATAAAACTAGATCTATCTGCACCATACAAATAAAAATTAACTCAAAATGGAATAAAGACTTGAATCTAAAACCTGAAACCATAAAATTCCTAAAAGAAAACATAGGTAATAAGCTCCTTGCCATAGGTCCTGACATTGATTTTTGGGTCTGACTCTAAAAGCAAAGACAACAAAAGCAAAAATAAACAAGTGGGACTACATACATCAAACTAAGAGCTTCTGCACAGCGAAGAAAGCCATCAATAAAATGAAAAGGGAACCTAGCAAATGGGAGAAAATATTTGCAAATCTGATAAGGGGTTAATATCCAAAATATATAAAGAACTCAGACAACTCAATAACAACAACAACAAATCTAATTAAAAAATGGGCCTGGGATCTATACAGACATTTTTCCGAAGAAGACATACAGATGGCCAACAGGCACATGAAAAGATGCTAAACATTACTAATTATCAGGGAAATGCAAATCAAAAAACCGCACTGAGATGTCACCTCATATCTGTTAGAATGACATTATCAATAAGACAAGAAATAACAAGTGTTAGAATGTGGAGAAAAAGGAATCCTCCTCACACACTGCTGGTGGGAATGTAAATCGGAAAACGGTACGGAGGTTCTACTATACGACCCAGAAACTCCACTTGTGGGTACTTATCCAAATGAAACGAAAACACTAATTTGAAAAGATACATGTACCTCTATATTCATTGCAGCATTATTTACAACAGCTTAGGCACGCTTACGTGCTTACTTTTTGGCCCAAGTATCTGAAGTCCTGACTCAGGTACTTAATTTTACTACTATCAAGTCCAGTTTAGTCTATTCTTTGAAATAAATCTCTTTCTTTGCCCACCTTTCCACCCTCCACTGGCCCTTCCCTGAGTCCTCCTTCATGCCAAGCATTCTTCACCAATCCCTTAAACTGTTGTTTTTCACACTATCGTTTGAGATAGTTTGAGACCCAAAAGTGGGTGGTGAA